TCAAACCCACTGGACATAGCTCTGAACAACTTCCTCTCACTGACTCTACTTTGAGCAAGGAGGGGCAGACCAGGCATTCTCCAGACATCCTTACCAGCCTCAACTTTCTATGAAATCTTAGACTTCTTGCTAATGTTTAGTATTAGAAAACTTTTTGTCTATGTGATTTTTAAATATGGAAATGTTTAAAACCATACATTTTCTTGTTTTCTCCAAAACTATAAGGAGAAATGAAATAAAATTTTTAAGAACATCCCTAAAGCACCTTCTAAAAGAACTTCAACACTTGGTTCTGATGCAATATTAGAAAGACATAATTGGAATACAAAAAACAATGAACATTGTAAAAGGTGAGTTTCTTGACAGCAGCAGGACAAATACACTGTTAGCCATCACATTCTAGTGAAACTTCTTCGTTTTGCAAAAGTAGAGAACAGAGAGAAGCAAGACAATTCCAGGCAGACTTTTCTATAATGGCTGAACACATCCTGGTGCATCTGTTCACATCCAGAACAAATGTGAACAGATGTGAACAGGAAGCTATCTTAGCACGAACAAAATCAAAAATGGATGTCAGAATAATTCTGAACTTCCTCAAAATCACCATTTAGGCCAGAAAACCAAGTAGTATGGTTAACTCTGACACACATGGCATTCAGACATATTTTTGCCTAGTGGAAAACATGAAATTTAAAATGCCTTCCTCTTTCTCCATCCTGTCAGCATTATTCCTATTTCCCCCTAAACTGAGTTTAAACCAGGGTCCATCTCAGATGGTTAATCTTCTGAGGTATAAACCAATTAGAATTCCGGACTTTCATTAAGTTCTGTGAAGCACTGATACTCAATTCTAAGGCTCAAGATATGCCATACCACTCTTAAAATACCCCAGCCTTTATTTGTACAAGATACACAGAAATGCTTTGCCTTCAGCAGAGAAATTATACTCATCTTCCCCACATATGCTAATTATTAACCTGTCCAAATGTTTTCCATATCTTGTTGGTAAGCAACAACACAAATAAATTATATAAATAATTCCTCCCATCCCTGTTTTGTTTTTTTTTTTTTTTTAAAGACTAGCGAATCAGTGCAGCCCACTTCACACGAGATACAACTGCACACCTCAGCTGGGGCAGTCATCGCTGACAGCTCCCATTCTTTGGCAGCTGTCAGAGCCAACAGTTTTCTCAACCAGCCTGCCACTCTTCCCAATTCACCCACCTTCCAGACCTCCCATCAGTCTTGCACCCTACCCTCACCTATCCAATTCCACCCAGCACAATCCTAAGAATGGCCCTTGGGAGCATGAGAGTTCCAAGACAGCCTTTAGCTTTGCATTACAATGAAGTAAGAGAACATAAACAACTGGTTATCATCTCAGCTTTGTAGCTTCTTAAACAATCATCTGATCATGCTGCAACCATACAGCTGACCAACAAGGCTCTGCTTGACCTAAATATGTCTGCTCTTTTGTTTCCTCCCTTATGCATCGCTTTACCATCTTGTGCTTTGCTTCTTATTTTCACCTAATTCTAAAATCTTTGCAGATGTTTAAACTGGAATAAAACTATAGTATTTATAACTGAATGAAAAAGAATTCTAAATATGAAATTTTTAAGTGGAATTATTAGTCAGAGAAATAGTGAAAAAGAAAGACCCAAACTAAAACTTCTCAGATTTTTAACTCCTAAGACAGAGAAAGACATCCTGAGAGGCCAAAACATGAGTCATCATTCTAGGTCAGGCAGCAGCACACACCATCCCAGCAAGGCTCTCACACAAACCAGCAAGCAGCAATATTCAAGGCAAAGTTCCCATGACAAGTGTTTGAACCAACCATGGATGTAGCAGTATGGCAACCAAGGAAAACATGCTCAGGTAAGCAAGCCACAAACTCAAGGCCATCTACATTAATATCAAGCACCATCAGGCAACATACTGGTGTTGGCTAATCATTAGGCAGAGTAAATCACGGTGTCAAAGCTGAAAGACTGCAATCTTCATCAATGCACAAAGACAAGATCAGCAGCAATGCCTGCGAGTGCCTCTCATCAAAAAAGAAATACAGCTCCAACCAGAATCATTGGCCAAGCTGAAAACATTGTTGTCTAAAGACAGCCTGCCAGGTCATTAACAGGATGGAAGGGAGAAGAGGGTTGAGTTTAGTTCTGTCAATTGCCTTCTTCATTTGCTGTTTATTACAAGCAGCTGCCATTTTCATTAGTCTTTTTACTTCCTCACTAATCCTTTCAATGGTGTTACAGCAATGGCCATTCAAACAGTAGGCCTGGACTCAGATACCAATACAGAATTACAGGATAATTTCAGCTGGAAAGGACCTCTTAAGGTTGCCTGGTCCAACCCCTGGGCTCAAAGCAGGGCCAGTTAGATCGTTACAAACACAATCACATTTGCTCCAGCTCTTCCCCAAATCCCAGACACGCAATATTCCAACTGTGTTCCTATGGGAGTTTTGCTGTTGCTTTTAAATCATACTGCTGGTCTCTTGGGGAGCAGCTGCAGCATACCATTTCAGCCAGGAAAGCAGTATGCTAGCCCAGCATGCTGGCTCCAGCCCTGCCAGCTCCTACCAAGCAAATGTCAGTAAAAAAGTAACAAAACAACCCTGAAACAACAGCATCACTGTCCATTGACATGCAGGCTCTTCAAGCACTTCTAAGAGGAAATACCTAGATTGACTTCTACTATCCATTTGTGTGGATTAAGAGTTCTACCAGATGTTCAGCAGTCAGAACTGCAGTCCAGGTATAGAATATAACAGGAAAGAGCTGCCCTCCAACTGCTACATTAGGCACCATCACCCATGCACAGGTCTCAAACAGATTGACCTTTGCTTCTGGGAAAGGGATGAGTATCACAAACTGCAGGAAGGCAATTATGTCTGTCTGTGCATATAGATTTCATTTTCCACATAACTTAAGAGATACCTACAATTTAAGACTTTTTAGCTTCTTTCCTTATTCATATCATATCTCCAATATGATAAACACAGAGGACCATACAAAAAAGACTCTACTGCACTAAATCTCGTTCATTCTTCTGTTTTTCACAAGGAATGTATTTCAGGGCCTTTAGTCCCTCTCCTTTCTTTATTAAGGTCATATTAATTAACTCCAGTGTCTAGTTCAGCTACTGTTAGGTATCTCCTTCAATTTATATTTAGTTTCCACCCAAAATATTCTGAATCATTCAAGAATTAGGTTGTAGGAGTGTAAAAATTAACAGAATGCTATAACTAACTCACAGAAGATATGTAGGAAGGGCCTATCTGCATGTATGGAAAGTAGTGAGTGAGCTTATATTCACTTAGGTTTTTAACTAAGATTTTGGCTTCTCTTGAAAAGCCTCTTAAACATTAACACAACAACAAATTAACTTAATAGGAGTAAAGCAGTACCGCATCAAAACTGTTTTGCCCATTTTGAACTGCTAGGAACCATTTGTCCTGCACCAGCATTCCAGTATCCTGTCAGACCTACGACTCATCCTAATCAATCAATCCATCCCCAAGATGCACAATTCCAGCCTTAGAGGTGGATATAAGAAAGCAAGCAATCATTACACATCATCTGATTTTCAGTATGTTTATGCTCTTCAGCACTGTATGCACCCAGTACTATGAAACAAATCTTAGAGCTATCAGGCATTTTAAAACATCCAAAAAGATTTTTTAAAACACACTGCTTGAGCAAATAAATAGGTTTGGCAGAAAGGATGCTTGAAAAGGGTTGGAATCTTAAGATACTTTCGAGCTCTGTCATTAGTCTACAACCTGCTGTATGACCTCAGACAGCTATTTTGCTTCAGCTTCCCTTTATGTAAAGTAAGCTGTACTGTACAGATGAAAAGTATTTTAAAGTTTAACAAGTATCAAAAACTTCTGTCACTAACACTTTGACATTGGTAAAAGCTTGACAAAGCCACTTCATTCACCAGTACAGTGCTTTGCAGTTTCTTCCTATTTGCAAAATCCTAACACCGTAAAAGGCTGTTGTACAGTAACTTTAAAAAACAAGACTTGCTTTAAAAGAAGAAAAAGAAAAAGGCATATTTTTTCTAATTTTAAAGATGTTTTTGTAAAAAAAAAAAAAATTAGAGGTAATATGTGCAATTTTCCAAGGGCCAAGGCCAAAAAATTACATCATGTCATTTTAGAAGACATTTTGGAACTCTCTTTTAATATACGAATATTTTTAGGCATCAGATATTTAGACGTGCATAATCATTTTGAATTTTATGAGCATATGTAAACACGAGGTTTAGCTACACGAATTAAGGAACACGAGTTTTCACTAGGCTTTTGTTATGGGGATTGTTAAACTAGCAAGAATACGTTTCTAGTCTGCAAGATCCATCTCATCACACCAGGTCCCGAGGTCATCAAGGCTCCTTTCAGAGGCAACGGCGCATGAGAGATAAGGACAGAAAATGCTTCAAGGAACCGCATGATAACTCTCCTTAGAAAAACAGCGCGATACAGGAAGCAGCTTTCCACCACCGCGTTCGCTTCTAAACAGCCATTTTACTTCACTACATCCTTCCCTACAGCCAGCCTTCATTTTGTGTTCCTGCCTGGCTGCGCGGCTCCGGGCTGACAGCCTGGCGAGGATACCGGGGGCACGCTCAGGTGGAGGTGAGATGCCTCCCAGCCTCTCCGGGTGCCGAGCGAGCCGTTCCGGTGCCGGTGTCGGGGGAGGGAGGCTTCCCGCCTCCCCCCGTTTTTGAAAGTAAATGAAGGCGCCGCTCCCAATGGCGGGGGAGGGGGGAGCTTGGCTCCCTCCTCCTCCCGGGAGCCCGGCTCCTCCTGGAGAGGCAGGGGAGCCCGGGGACCCCTCTCCTGGCAGGTCGGCCCTGCTATCGTCCCTCCCCCCGGGCGGGCAGTGCCGTGTGTCCCGTCCCTCCCCCCGGGCGGGCGGGCTGGCTGTGCTGTCTCTCCCCCCGGCAGGCCGTGCGAGAGCGGCGGGGCGGGCACTCACCGCTCCGGCAGAGTGAGAGGCAGCGGCGGCGGCGGCGGCCTCATCCTCCTCCGGCGACGGCGGGCCGATCTTGCTGCAGGTGGCCGCCAGCAGAGCGAGCGGTGACGGCTGCGCGTCCTACCCACAATGGGCGGGTTCAGGGAGAGAAGGGGGGTGGCGGTTAGTGCGGGACAGCGACCGGGCTCCTCGCAGACGCGCACACAGGAAGCGGCGGCGGCGGCACCGGCTCCGCACCCGCTCACAACGTGTCACCCGGGGGAGGGGGGAAGGGGCCCAGCCGGGCCTGCGCTCACCTGGGGGGCGGCCGCCCCGGCGGAGGCCGAGGCGGCGCCGTTGCCGTGCTGGAGATATTCGCTGTGGCTGCTGCTGTCCACGTCTAAGGCAGCCATTTCCTCTTGTTTCACGGGCTTCTCGGGAGCTGCGGGCACAGCGGGGAGGGGGAGGGGAGAGTCACTGACGGGAGCGATCACCCCCCTCCCTCTCTCTCCCTCCCTCCCTTCCTCCCTCCCTCCCTCTCCCCCCCCTAACCCCAGCGCTCCCCCCGCCCTCCCGCACGGAGCCCTCCTCCTCCTCCTCCTCCTCCTCCCCGTGCTGCTGCCCCTGCCCCTCTTCTCCCTCCTCCCCCTGCTCCTCCTGCTGCTGCTCTCAGTGCCGCTCTCGCCTCGCTCGCACACGGACGTTCCGGGGCCGGAGCGGGGACGCGCAGGGCCGGAGCAGGAGCGGGGAGCCCCCGGGGCGGCTCGGTCGGTGCGTACGTACCGGTCATGGTGTGAGTGCGAGCGGCCGGCTGGCTGGCTGGCTGGGCGGGAGGCAGGCAGGCAGGCTGGCTCGCACACAGGCCCTGCTGGCTGGGGCTAGGCGGCTGCCGCCGGGGACATGCTTATTGTGCTCACGGCGGGCTGAAGCGGCGGCGGCGGCCCGAGCCTACTCCGGGTTTTTTTTCCTATTTTGATTGACGGTGCGGGAAAGCCGAAAGGTGGGGCTTGCCGCGGGAGAGGGGGCCCGGCCGACACCGCCGCCCGCCCGCCCGCCTGCCAGCCCGGAACTCCCGCCCACGCCCGCGCGCGCGCGCTCTCATTGGCTGCGCCGCGCCGCCGCCGCCGCTCGCACGGGCCGCCCGGGCTGCCAGTCACCCGCCGGGGGCGGGGGGGGCGCCCCATGCCGGGGCGGCTTCCTGTTTGCCAGGGCTAGTGCGGGGAACAATGAGCGGGACCCGCCGGGAGGCCGCGGCCCGCGCCGGCCGGGGACTCGCCGTCCCGGGAGGCGGCACTGCCGCCGCGCTCCCCTGACACCGCGGGGCCCGGCCGCCCGCAGGGGTCTGCGCATAGGCTGGGCTGCGCGGCGGTGGCGCTATCCCTCCAGCCCCCCTCCCCCCGCGCCCCCGCCGCTGTTGTGCCCGGGGGGCGGCGGGCCAGGGCTGCGATCTTTCGAAGTCTCCCCGCCGGGGCTGTCACTCACGGCTGGCGACAGCCGCGGCGGCCGAGCAGCGTTCGGCCGACGGACAGCGCCGCCGCGCTTTGTCCCTCCGGCGCTAAGATGTCGGCGCGGCGGCCCCAGGGGAGCCGGGCGGCTCGGCCCGCTGCCGCTGCCCGCCCGCCGCGGCTCCGGGCGCCCGGGGCAGCGCCGGGAGCAGCGCCCGGCTCGGCGGCGCGACCCGCCGTGCCGCCGTTGCATAAGCGCTGTGGCGGGCTCGCACCTGCCTGAGCCGGGCGGGTGAGCCGGAAAGCTCCGCTGTGGCTGGGCAGAACAGAACCCGTGCCCGGATAAGGCCGCGAGTTGGATTTTAACGCGACACGGCCTCCCAGCGGGAGTACCTGCCTTGAGCTGGACACCCGAGCCTTGGCACGGAGCGAGCATTTGTACCAGCAGGCTTTATTTTCGTCGTGTTAAGGAGAATTAATAAGATTCCCCTCAACGTCAGTTTGCTGGTCTGTGTGTCGTGTTATGCAACACAAAGGAAACTGGGAGCTCTCCGATTGTTAAACTAAGACAGGAAATATGTGTAAAACGTTACATAAGTATATGATGATACAGGAATGATTATTAGTGGGGCCTGTTTCTCTGTAACACCACTTAGCTTGTGAAGGGTTCCTGTAAAGGGGAACAATTTGGGCTTGGCCTTCCATCACATCTGAGTGCATGTGCAGGGTCATAGGACGGCGTGTAGGTTTAGGCACTGATTTTGACCCTTAGCTTGCAAATTCTCCCAAAGAATGACTTTTTCATGGTTACCCTTAGTGTGGTGTTCCAAGTAGTCTGAACGAGGCCAAAAAACCTCAAACCTACTTTTCTGTTACAATCTTTAATGTAATTAGAATTGAGGATTAACTAGGAGATAGAGTGAGCACAGTTTCATATGACCACAGTTGGGCTGAGTCTGTGGAGTCCCAGGCTTCCGAGATAAACTCATGGCCAAGTTAACAACTAGGAAACCCAGAAATATGGTCAGGATTTTCAACAGTCTCTCTGAACAGAGAATAAAGTGCTTTTTAATCGGTCCCAGCACTATGACTTTGCAGTAACTGCCCAAGCTTAACTTAGAAACTATTACAGAACAGGAAAAAACGCACTCAGAAAATGTGAATTTTATATCAGGAAGTTATGATGGATGAAGGTAGTTCTTACTGTGCAATGTTTAGTCTTTCTAACCAATTTACTTGTGCTGGTATGTTGAGAGTACCTTCAGGTGACTTAATAGTAGGTTGTAAATTAGTCCCCAATCTTTTAGTCACAGTTCATTTTTGCCAAGATAGTTAAAAAAAGCCAACCAAATCCTTCTCTTTGTTAAATGTCTGTATTTATTTACATAGTCTGTTGTAATTCTACTTTAGAATTAGTTGTTAGCGAGGTAGATAACACAGCCATAAAGAAGAAGGTTTTTTTGCAATTTGTATTTTTTATTTTAATAAGAAAGCTGTAACTAGGAACAGAAGTCAGTGTTTTTTAAAAATATGTCAGAAATAATTCTTAGCCAGTGAAAACTAATACACACAACCTTTAAAAATTCATCAGCATATATACATAAGGACATTCCAGAAAGAAAATGAAAATGCAAAGTTGCCTGACTATTGCAGTATTTTAAAAAAGGACTTCTACAGCTAGTATACAACTTGGAGTTTGTTTGACAATATCAGAAGTTGCTAGTGAAACATAAGAGAGTCTGTCATCCTGATACCAGAACTATTGCTGATTACTTTAGACTTTTAGTAACTGAGCTGTTCATTTAAAGACTGATGTTAAAGAGAAATAATTTATGTTAAGATGCTGTGACAGGGAAAACTATATTGAAAAGCTGGCCCTTGCTATTTGGCAGGGTATTGCCAAATACTATCAATGGCATTTTGCTTTAGGAAGATCATGTTGTCTGGGGCTCAATCTGAGTATGAAAGTTGTTCTTCTACAGCTGGATGGGTGCATGTTGAGAGCTGTCTGACTTAAGGGGGATATTGTCAATAGATATTGTCAATTACCTGCATGGATCTTATTGCAGGCTCAGGACATAACTGCAGTGCTTTAAGACAGAAAGATCTGAAATACCAGTAGTGGGATTGAGTTTATATATAAAAGAGTTTTCCAATGCAATAAAACTCAGATGTAATCAAGCTTAACACTAGAAGAGGATGACCTTTTCCTAGTCAAGTATCTAAAATTGGGGGGAACTGTTATGTTAAATTCAGATAAGAACTAAACCAGAATATGAACAGACCATTTAAGAAGTAGACAAAAAAAATCAAGATAAATTACAAGAAAGTTGCAAAAAAAAGATAGGCTCATATGAAAAAGAGGTGTAAAGATACGCAGAATTGTTAAATAGAAACTACTTGGTAACAGACATCACATGTCTCTGTTTACTACTTCCCAGCGGCCATTAAGAACATGAGAAGAAAATAAATGTAAAAATAAAATTATAAATTACATTATTTATAGGGGTTTTTTTGCTTATCAACATACTAAAAATAAGACATTAATCATTAGAAAAATCCTGGATACATGAGGGAGATTCTGTATCAACTGGACATCTGAGTTCCCCTGGGTGCTAGTTTTCCTGCAGAGTTAGCACTGGGGCAGTAGCCCCAGAGACTGAGCTCCATGCCCAACTAGAGGAGCCGTTGTTTTCTCTTTTCTTGACTTTGCCCACCAGATGTACGATGTCTATATGTGATCTGAAAAAGCTAACCATGACCAGTTTATTCTTAAAGAGCCTTGCCTCTGTAAGACTTTGCCTCCTGCTTCTAGGTAGTTCCTGGTTAACTGCAGGTCCTGGGATGAATTCTTGATCAATTTGCTGAAAATGGTGTGTTGTAATTTGAGCTGTGTATGTACAGAGAAAGTAATACTGCTCTATAAATAATAATAATACTTCTACCAGATACCAAAATGCAGCAGTTTTAGAACTGAGATGTAGCCTTTGGGGTAAGTAGCAAAATGATGTGGAAGAGGAAACAATGTCTACCATCTTCTGATGAAACTTGAGAGATTTTGACAGATGAAACAAGAGCAACTTGGAAAAAACGCTAAAACTTGATACCAGCCATGTATTTCAGTTGTAAGCTCAATGCTGTATTTGTCCACTGTAACTTATATCTCATTGGTTTAAGTCTTGGAGCTCAGTCTCAGTTCAGTACAAATTCAGGAGAAAGTGGACAGTCTTAACACAACTTCCATCCAGCACAGTGTCTGCTATACCTGGAAGTATCTTTTCTATTTCTATGTCCTTTGAAATTTCTGAGCCATGACATGTTATTTCTGTCTTTAGTGGTCCCTGCTGTGGGTAGCCCTGCATTTCTTTAAAGAATTCTATTATTGAAGGTCTGTGGGTATGTGGTCCAGTTCAGTTTTCACAGCTGTGGTACTCCACTCCTCTGCTGAGTGGTGGTTTTACCATGCTGAAGCCTAGAATGCAACTGGACAAGACAGACAGGAATGCATTCTGCTGTGACAGAATGTAACACCAGGAAAACTCAGGCTCAGGTCACTTTAGTTTGAAAAGCTGGGTCTGAAATGTAGGGATTCCATTCAACAATCTACCTTAAAACTTGTCCTTTACTGGAGGGACAACGAGCAGGATTATCTGTAAATCTCATACCTCAGAAAATCACTAGAACACCAAAAAATCTAACTATTCAGGAGATTTATCTTTTTGAATTTGAGATACCTTCTTCTGTTTTAGTAATCTGTTTTAAATTTTAGTAGAATTTGGAAAGCCATATGTTTTCCTAAGTGCCAAACATTTGCATGGCACTACAAAACCCAAGATAATGACAAGGTTTTGAATCAGACATCTTAAACTTCCTAGAATTCAACTTCATTCTGAATTTCAGCCTGCTTTTGCAATTTAAGTCTTGGAAGACGTGAATAAGTGTGTAGGCACCAGCCCTAGATACTGCACTCTTAATTTCTACATCCCGTATGGGTCCATTTGCTTAAGAATATTGGGTCATCTTTACAGAGGGCCAGAGGCAGGACTGACAGGAAGTTGACCTGTGAGGTTTCGTGAGTCAGAACATAGTAGTTGAGATAGTTGTGTGACTCGAGTTCATCAGAGAAATGAGCCCTTGCCAGTAGAAAATCAGCAGTGGTTAGAGAAGAGTCTTGGCATTGTGTCATCATCCTCCAGAAAGCACCTCCCTGTGTTCTTCTGGCTACAAGAACAAAAATTTTGCTGAGGGGAAGCAGGCTTTAGCAGTAGGTGTGGTCTACCCAGAAGCTGAGCCAACCTAAAAGCTCATGGACATCACCATAAGAAAATAAATCCTGCAAAAATGTGCCTCTGATACTGCAAGCTAAACTGAGTCAAACTAGATACAGGGAGCAACAGAGTTCCATGGGTGGGAGTAGAAAAGGAGAGGTAAGACTCCTTTCAGCAGCTACAGGTAGATTAATTCAGGGTGACAGACTTGCTGAACAACACAGGAACTTGCTTTTGGCTATGTTTTGTGTAAAGTGTCCTGTCAGTATCCCAGGATTTCAAGCCTTTAGAAGAGCACAAATGTTACCTTAGAGCATGTGAAATATCAAGGTATCGATTTAGTC